ACATTTTCTAACTTCAAAATCATTTATCTATTTTGCTTATTAAATGAAGAGAACTGAGCAAGATACTCAGGGAGAAGCCTGTGTACTCTGGACAGACAATCTGAATTCAGTATAGTTTCATTTCTCCATGCTGTAATTTTGGTCCAGTTACTTACTGCCTCAGTGCCCTATTTGATACAAATTTGATGGGTTTCCGTGTATGATGGATGGGAGAATTAAAGGACATAATAATTAAAGGAGAGTGCTTCACACATAGTAGATTCTGAATGAAAGTTAGCTGCTAATATCAATTTATTAATAAAGACAAATTTTTAATGTATTTGCATTCTTGAAAAATAAGAAAAAGCATTTTTTAATACTACAATTTTCTCATACTTTTAAAAAGAAGAAAGATTTCCATGTGTAGTTTTGAAGAGAAGACAATAAAGATAAATGTGACAGTGTGTCAAGTGCATATAGAAAATAACAACATATTATCACACAAAGCAACTCATCCAAAAATAAGACAAGAAAGCACCCTAAATTGAAGAAAATATAGATAGTAGTTGCAGAAGTGATTTTTTTTAACCTATTTCATATAGAATAAACCTAACTTAGATTGGGAAATCAAAAATTAATTTGGTCAGTAACTTTTTAACTATTTATAATTTTTCCTCTAGTATTTATCTTATAGTTTAGTAAAATTATCCTCCTGTTATATTGCATTTAAAAGCACAGATCTCGGGACGGTAGTTGTTGTATTGGCTATGTTGCTGGACTCCTATGTTGCCCACCGTGGTTTGAGCCCCAGACCCGGTAGCTTAAACTCATGCTGGGTGCGTGTGTGTGCATGCCCAAGATTCCGAGAGGAGAATGGAGGAGAAGGGATTGCAGCATGGCCATCTCCCCGGGGGGTGATTTCTCTCTTTCTGTCTCTCTGTTTCTTTTTTTTCTGTAGAGTGCACACTCCCTATATCAAAAACGTATCAAAAAAAAAAAAGATAGCACAGATCTCAAACAGTTTTATTTATTTATTTTTTCCACTTATGATGGCGCACATACACACACAGAGGAGAGGAAGAGAGGGAGAGACAGAGAGAAACAACTACCTCAGGGCTCAGTCATATTCTGGTCTTTTTTCTCCTGTTCTCTAGCAAAGCAGAATCCTGGCCATGTGTTCACATGTTGGTATGTTTTTAGGCTGACTGGGCTGGGGACTAAAACTGTGGTCTGCATGTGGCTTTCAGCTTCACAGTATGGTATGCTACTGAACCTACCACTGAGGCTGGGCCTCAAATATTGGGTTGGTGGGACAGTCATGATGTATTTTTGCATTGAAAAAAAAATAGAAAATATGTCATGGGTTTCCTGATTACTTAATAGTATTATTATCAACTAGCATGTCCTCTGACTGTGAAGCTGAAAGTATATACAAAAAAAGAAAAAAAGATTTGTTTCAAACTCTAAATTAGGCAAAATTTTTTATAGCAATATTGGATTAGATAAGATTACTATTCTAGAATTTTTGTATATGTTACATAAAATCATATATGCCAGAAGTAGTGAAAGTATATCTTCATGGAAATTAAGAATATCATAGTTTGTGTTCTTTTTAGTTATTTTGTGGAAATGCAAAATTTCTCTTCTAGGAATAATTTGTTATATATTATAATAAGCAATGGTGCTTATTACCTTCTTTACATATTACACATTAATCCTGAAAAGCAATGAAGAAAAAAAGAATAAACATTCTACTCATTACTAACTCTCAAATGTAATCATTATCATTTCAGTGTTTTTCTTCTTCTACTTTTTCTTGTTACTGTTTTTCATATTGTATGTATTGGTAGTTAAAAAAACTATTTCTTGAGCATAGATGATTGGCCTCTCTGTTTTATAGCTATGTGATTTGGATTAGTACTTAATTTCTCCCAAACTTGGTTTCATCATTTTTTAAAATGAGAACAATAGGAATGCTTTTTTAATACCATAATTGTAAAAATTAACTGTTAAATAGATCACACTAAATACTCATAAGATGTATATAATGGGTTCTACTGGAAATGCAGTTCTGAATAATCTAATTTATACTTAGTATATTTAATTTTCCATCTAATTGAGGCTTTTTTATTTTTTTTTTGTTTTTTGCGTTTTTTTTTTTTTTTTTTTGTTAAACTTGTACCATACAACATGTGCTTTTATTAGAGAGAGACAGAGTGAGAAAGAGGGAAAGTGAGAAATCACCCCCACATGGGGGATGGTCACTCCATAGTCCCTTCTCCTTCATTCTTCTCTTGGGATTTTGGGCACACATGCACATACATACTGAGTCTAGGACTCAAACCTCAGAGTTGGCCATGTGAGATCCAGTGCCTTAACCATCGTACTACCTGGTGAAACCCTAATTGAGTTTTGTTTTGTTTTCGGTTTTTGCTATAGGGTGTGTGTGCTTGCTGGAGAGAGAGAAAATGAGAAATCAATCCCCAGGGTGGTGGCCATGCCGCAATCCCTTCTTCATTCTCTTGGGCTTGTGAGCATACATGTTTGTCATGATTTTCAAGCTGCTGGTCCCAGTAGTCATACCATAGTCAGCCATGTGGGAGTCCAGTGTCTTAATCACCATACATGGTGGCCTCTAATTGTTTATTTTTAAAACAAGATCTCTGGAGCTGGCAGGTGAAGTGATGGTTAGAGTGCTGGACTGCCACGTGGCTGACTGCAGTTTGAGTCCCAGATTTGGTAGCTTGCTTTCTTGCTTTCCCTCTCTCTCCACTCTGTCCCTCTCTGGTCATATTAAAAATAATAAATACAATTAAATAATTCTTTTTTAAAAAAGAATTTTATCTAACTTTATTTATTTAATTTGACCAGAGAGGGACAGAATGGAGAGAGAGGGAAAGTGAGAAGGCAAACCATGAGATCCGGGACTCGAACCGTGATCAGCCTTGTGGGAGTCTAGTGCCCTTAACCACCATGCCACCTGCCTGACCCCAATTAAATAATTCTTTTAAAAAGGAGCTTTAATGGTTATATAAAATACTATTGTGAATTTATGAAATAGTTTTCTATTGTGGATATTTAGGATTTCTACTATTTTTTTTTTTTTAAACACAGTGTATGGGGAACCAGCAGCTAGCGTAATGGCTATGTTGCTGGATTCCCATGTAGTCGACTGCGGTTCGCGTCCTGGACCCGGTGGCTTAGAACTCACGCTGGGCGTGTGTGCGTGCGTGCCCAAGATCCCAAGAGGAGAATGGAGGAGAAGGGATTGTGGTGTAACCATCCTTCCTGGGGGGTGATTTCTCGCTTTCTGTCTCTATGTCTCTCTCTGTATGTCTGGCGAGCGCACGCACTCTATAGCAAAAACCTCTCTCTCAAAAAAAAATGAAACACACAGCGTATGTAGCTTTTGTTCTTTTATCTGATTTTCTTTGGGCAAAAGAATTACTAAGTTTTAAAAAGGGAATTTTTTTTAAGGTTCCCTTTTAGTAAATATTGCAAAATTACCTTTTGCCTTCCATTTAGTGATGTCTGAATGTGTTCATTTCTATATATTGTTGCCAATGATATATTTTAAATATTCATTTCATTTTGTAATAAAAATATATCTTCCATAATTTGGTAATTCTTTTTGTTATTACCTGTGTGATATATGAAATATGGCCTCTGAACTTTAACTCAGGCCAAGGACAAATCCCAGTCTGATTCTCAGGCTCATGGTGTACATCTGTAACGTCACTACTCTAGTTTTCACCATGTAGCCATCAGATAATGTGAAAGTAGTCTTCTGGCATTTATAAAAGTAAGGTTATGAATCTGAGTTATATTCCTCAAAGATTTATGAACTATAAAATGGCATTATTATCATGTTCTGCCATTGCATTGTGCTCTTTAGATGTCTTCCATTTTATGTGGTTAAGCTCCTTAGGCTCCATTTGCATGAAAGCTACCGTGTGTACTCATTTTGTATTGTATTGTGGCAAACGGTATAATCTACAGGGTTCCTATTCATTTTGGAATTCATTTCACAGCTCACTAATTGTGTGAATGAGAAGAGGAAATATATGCTTTTTTTCTAAAGCATGCCAAGCAGATGGCCCAAAGTTCATTGCTACCAGCATTATCAGTGTGGCCCTCTTTTGTAGGTAGTGAGTCTGGCATACATCCGTCAAACACAATGTGAGGGTCCATTTAACACAGCACTTGACAATCACTGAGCCTCCGGTTTGTTATGACTTATAAACATTTTATTTTTTATCATCAACATCTAAAGTGGTCGGTCATTTGAGCAGGTGCAAACACAGTGGAATTCATATTCATTTTACTTGAGAAGCCAAATGAACTTTCATTCATATGGAAATTTTGGGGAAAGAAAACAGCACAAGGGATTATGTATGCTTAGTTTCTTGAAAAGGGATTAATACATGTATTGCAATTCATAAATGTGGCATCATTTCTGAGATTGAACGTTTTGAAAAAATTGAGTTGAAGAAAAGATCAATTTACATCTTCAGGTATTTTTTTTTAAATGAATTTCCTTAAAAATAGCTTTTTCCCTTTCCTATGCAAGGTAACTGTTCTTATTTACTCTTATATACGATATGTGATTTATAATCATTTGACCTTTTAGCAATTGCTTCTGTTGTGTGTTTGGATATGTGTGTGTGTGTGTGTGTGTGTGTGTGTGTGTGCACGCGCGCATGGGGAGACAATAAGATGGAGAGAGTGTGAAAGAAAGGAAATTAGTGAATATCTTCACACATTTTCTATTTCAAATAAATACTGGAACAATATATAATCTGGTCATCACTTCAGGAAAGGGAAACTAGGTAAAATATTCTAATGGATTGATACATAGTGATTTGAACACAATGTCTTATTTAACAGAATCAGAGCACGCCGGAGATACTGATTTCGCCCTTTTGTAGAGAAAAAATACTTCCTTCTCTCCTCTTCCAAACTGCCTAGCACTCATTTCACAAGTTGTATTGCTTATATATTTTCTTTTCCTCTGCTTTCAGACCGATGCTGCACTAATGTATGATGCTGTGCATGTGGTGTCTGTGGCCGTCCAACAGTTTCCACAGATGACAGTGAGCTCCTTGCAGTGTAATCGACACAAACCTTGGCGCTTTGGGACCCGCTTTATGAGCCTGATTAAAGAGGTATGTCAGGAGAAGCGCAGCTGCCTTGTTACTTTTGTCTTTGAGCTGCATCAATGCAGTGAGATCACCATCCTCACTTTTTCCCAAGTTTTTCTAGCAGATGGCATTTATGTGTATCTTTTAAATTATATTTTGCTTCTTTTTATATAAACAAAGTCTAATATTTTTATACATAATATGAGACAGAAGAGGATGAAGTTCCATTACAAGTAAATAAAATTTCTATCATAATATGTATGATAGTGTAAACAAATGAAACTGTGAACTGAGAAAGTTTGATTTATGATATTAGCTTTCACCTTTCTGAATCTTCTGTGTGTTACTTTTGTAGAGATGTATGTACATGTTTAAAGAGTAGGAAAATTCTTTGGACCAGCAGGTGGCATGGTAGTTAAGAGCGCTGAACTGCCACATGGCCGACCATGATTCAAATCCCAGACTTGGTGACTTGATTTCTCGCTTTCTCTCTCACTCACTCTGTTCCTCTCTGGTCAAATTTAAATAAATGAATGAATAAATAAATAAAGTTAAATAATATAATCTTTTAAAAAATAAAGGGTAAGAAAATTCTGAAAAGTCATACATATATATACGTACATATATGTACATAGTAATACAAATATATCTACTTGTATTTATGTGTGTATATTCTTGCTGTTCTTCCCTTCATGAAGTAAAGTTTTTTATTAGCTTAGAATACTTTTCTTTTTTAGTTTGGCATAGGGCATGTGTACTTGCCAGAAAAAGACAGAGAGAAAGTGAGAAAGCCCTTCCCCCGCAAGGTGAATGGCCACAGTGCTATCCTTTCTACTCCATTCTTCTCTCGGGATTTTGACCATGCATGCACACATGTCTGGCTTGATTTTCAAGCCTCTAGGTCCAGGACTTGAAGAGTGCAGCCAACCACATGGGATTAAATGCCTTAAGCTCCACGTCACCTGCTGGCCCAGGATACATTAATAAATGAAAGTTTAACGAGACCTTAATCTTTACTATGAAAAAAAAAAAAATCACAGATGTTATGATATAAAATTTTTCATTAACAGATTAAAATAAATGATCAGTTTATAATAAATTATGCATTATAAAAACAAGTGCAAATAAGATCATAATTAAGAATGTCTAAGTCTTGGGACCAGCAATTAGTGTAATAGCTATGTTACTGGACTCCAATGTAGTCAGCCGTGGTTCGAGTACCGGACCTGGTGGCTTAAACTCATGCTTGGCACGTGTGTGTGTGTGTGCCCAAGATCCTGAGAAGAGAATGGAGGAGAAGGGATTGTGGTGTGGCCATTCCCCCTGGGGGGTGATTTCTCGCTTTCTTGCTTTCTCTCTCTCTGTCTTTTCGGCGAGCGCACACACCCTATAGCAAAAACCTCAGGAAAAAAACAGAAAGACTATCTAAGTCTTTGGCAAAGAATATTCATGAACTTTGTCTAATTCAGGTGAATTGATATCCATAAAGAATATACAGTTTGGGGTCACCAGGTGGTGTAGTGGTTAAGTCACTGGACTTCCACATGGCTGACTGCAATTTGAGCCTTGGACCCATTGGCTTGAAATTCATGCAGGGTGATGTGTGTGCCTCCAAGATCTCAGGAGAATAGAAGAGAAGGGATTATGGTGTGACCATCCTCTGGGAGGAGGGGTTCTTACTTTCTCTCTCACTGTGTCTCTCCTGAGAGTGCTCCCTATGGCAAAAAACTTTAAAAGAAAAAAAAAGAATATGCAGTTTATTTGTTGCTCCATATTCTACATTATTTCTGATTTAAAACTGAGCAACAGAGAACTGTAAACAGTCCACAGATTTGGCTGGTCGAATAAATTATTTTTTTGAGCTCAGCACTTGAGTATTGAGACCATGACATGTGTCAATCTAAAAGAAGCAGTTGTGTGACATTCCGTATTCCCCAATGTAGTTACTGTAGGGTGTAATTGAGAACCTTATGTACTGAATTACTCAGTGTGCCCTTTATGAAGACCAATAGGAGGAATTTTTCTCAGGTTTCAGTAGGAAGAAAAGCTGTCTCTCCTGAGCAGCTGCTAGGTCTTAAAATATGAACCTTGTGCATTGTGTTCACAGCATATTTTCCTTTTTGCTTTGGTTGCTAGGAAATTCAGAATTAAATTTTATATACAGTTTTATTAGTTGTTTATTTCACCTAGTGTACATTTCTTTCTGATATTGCTATCCTCGATTGATTTTACTACCTCACACTTCTATTCCCGAAGTTCTCAATCCTTTTGTCTATTTTTATACTGCTATGCATTTTTGTTAACCATTTGAAAAAATTTCTTTGAGAATGTTGGGGTAAAAATAATTTTTCTTCCTTATTAGGGAAATCAACTCACATTTAACTTAAGTAATAACATTTTATAATATACATATAGATATATATTATGCTTCTTTCTACTTTATTAGTAATTTATTATCCTAAAACTATTTTGGAATTTCTACATATAAATACCTGAGAATTATATGGATTGTAAATAAGGAACATATAAGGATATTTATTTGTAATTTTTATTGAAATGTTTCCCTGAATGTACAGGGATTTACTTCTTTTGGGTCTTAACATATTATTTCAGACACTATAGTTGTGCATATACATGTTATTATTTAAAATTGTCATATATCACTGTTTTATCAAACTATAAATGACAATAATAGAAAACAATTAATTTTGGCTACCTAACAAACATAATGAAAAAAAAATATTTTAAAAGAAGTCTAGTCACCTTTGAGGGATAGTGGACATATTATGTAGCTAGATTATTTCTCCACTTCCTTCTACGTGGAGAGCTCTTTCTACAAGAAGTGTAGCTTCAACCTAAATAATTAGACATTTTCCCCAATCTTACATAGGGGAAAGTAAAGTATTAAGTTAATTACCCTGGGGATGGGAAGGTGTGGGAGTGTGAGTAATTGTAGTTGAGGTAGTATAACATAAGTTATTACTGGATTCAATTTCTTTCATAAACAAAAGCTGCTTTTTCAAATTATGACTTGGAGAGTGGTATCTTATACAGTAGTTCTATCCCAAGTAAGATATTCAATATGTCATATATCATAGGTAGCTAAATTCTTTATACGTTGGTAAAAGAGGTTCATTGTTTAAAACAGTCATAAAATTTCTCGAAGAAAAAATAGTTACAGTTAAAAAATGTATTGTATAATTTTTTAAATGTTACAATAAATTATATACTAAAGTTAGGTTAATTTTAATTATATACTAAAGCTAGGCTAACGTCTTCATATTTCAGAAAAGAATAAAAGTATTTTAAAAATCTGTATCAATATAAATTTATTAAAAGTAATACAGTTGTCTTTCTACATTTTGTGGAAAAATATTTTATATTTTCTTCTTTTTCTTGTTTATTAACCTAAGTTTGCTGGTTTGTTCTTTTTCCCACAGGCACATTGGGAAGGCCTCACAGGCAGAATAACTTTCAACAAAACCAATGGCTTAAGAACAGATTTTGATTTGGATGTGATCAGTCTCAAGGAAGAAGGTCTGGAAAAGGTATTTAAAACATTCACTATTAAAAAAAATATATCCTAATGAAGAAAAAATACTCTCTGTTATTCTTAAATTTTATTAACATTTAATTTTACTGAGTAATACTAAAAAATAACTCTTTAATTCACTGTATTTAATATAACATGTGACAATTGGGATATAAGGATAAATTGTGTCCTAAAAAATTTATTTTCTTACTAGGTTTTTCTAATCATTTGAAATAATACAATTTTAATTACTCCTATTTTAAAATTTAACATATATAAGCTTAATTAGCAATTAAAAGTATTTGGTTTAATATGGGTCTTTGTGTATGCAACTTATAATCACTAGTGCTTAGTCTTTCCAACATGGACCAGGTCATTAAAAACGATTGAATATGGAAGCATGGTTTCTATTGTTGATGCATAATCAAGTGTAATCTCTGAATTAATGTATGTAAGATAAATTAGGTATGTACATAAATGTAGCACATCACACTGAATCTGCCTTACTTGACTCTACTTCTAGAGATTGAAGTCAAGATCAGACAAGGCTTATAGAATTTGAGTATATGCTTGCTTTAAGACTATTTTAGGGTGGGAGGACCAGCAGTTGGCGTAGTGGCTATGTCGCTGCACTCCCATGTAGTTGACAATGGTTCGAGTCCTGGACCCGTTGGCATAAACTCACACCGGGTATGTGTGCGTGCGTGCCTAGCATCCCGAGAGGAGAATGGATTGCGGCGTGACCATATCCCCTGGGGAGGTGATTTCTCACTTTTTGTCTCTCTTATTCTCTGATTTTCTGGTGAGTGCACATGCCCTATAGCAAAAAACCTCTCAAAAAAAAAAAAAGAGAGATTATTTTAGAGTGGGGTCAGCAGGTGATCAAGTGGTTAAAGGACTGGACTTCCATTATGGCTGATCATGGTCTGAGTCCTGGGTCCATTGGCTTGGAAATCACCCTGAGTGTCTATGCATGCATGCCTCAAATCCTGAGAAGAGACTGAAGGAAAAGAGATTGCAATGAGACCGTGCCTCTTGAGGAGTGATTTCTTACTTTCCCTCTCCATCTCTCTCTCTCCAGCAAATGTACATGCCCAATAGCAAAAACTTAGTAATAAAAAAGAGAATATTTTAGGGTAAATTTTCTTATATTTTAAATGTAAACATTTAGATATTTTTCATAGATTTATTGACAATTTTAGGTTAAATATGTATTTTATTAAGAATTTTAGAAAAATTTACTTGACTGAGATGATATTACTTTAAAGATAGTAAGATACATTTATTTTACTATTGGACATAGAACATTACTTATAGATGGCAACTGAAGAAGGAAGTTGAGTCAGAAGAAGCATTCTTTTACCCTAGAAAATAATAGCACAATTTTTTATTAATTTAAAACATAATGATATATTTTATTTTATTTATTATTTTAATTATTATTTAGTCATTATTATCAATATTATTAATATTATTTTATTATTATCAGGGAGAGACAGAGAGACATAGAGAGTGAAAGCAAGCAGCCAGGTTTAGGATTTGAACCACATTTGGCCATGTTGGAGTCCAGTGCCTTGACCCTGCTGGCCCCATATAACAGTATATTTAAATGCTGACTTAAATGGATCAAGAGAAAGAAATAACACTTTTTGTTAATAAAGAAATCAAGATAGAGATGTACACATAATGACCAACTGAGAGCCTAAGTGGATAGGGGTGTAACTTCCTCCCACTTTAAACTTTAGATCATTCCCTTTGTCAAGACCATGGAGTCAGGGATATTTGATAATAAACCTAACTCAAATATTTATGAGATAGTCACCTTGCTTCTAAGTTGAGAACCTTAATCTGTATTCAAGACTGGAGTTGATAATGGCCAAGTTTTAGTCAACTCTTAAAAGTTCTACCCCTTGGGGGACCAGAAGATGATGTAATGGCTATGTTGCTGGACTCCCACGTAGTCAACCGGGGTTTGAGTCCCAGACCCGGTGGCTTAAACTCAGGTCAGGCATGTATGTGCGCGTGCCCAAGATCCCGAAAGCAGAATGGAGAAGGGATTGAGGCATGGCCATCCCCTCTGGGGGGTGAATTTTTGCTTTCTGTCTCTCTGTCTCTCTGGCACATACTATAGCAAAAACAAAACAAAACAAAACAAAACAAAACTCTTAAAAAAAAGTTTTATCCCTTGGTCCAGCAGGTAGTATAGTGATTACGGTGCTCCCACATGACTAATTGTGTTTTGAATCTCAGATTTTGCAACTTAAAATTCATACCAGGTGCATATGTGTGTTCCCAAAATCCCAAGAGGAGAACGGAACAAAGGGTTTGTGGCATGGCCTTTTCCCCCAGAAGGTGATTTCTCACTTTCTTGCACTCTCTATCTTTCCAGCAAGTGCATACACCCTATGGCAAACATCTGAAAAAAAAAAAAAGTTGTATCCTATTATTTACTAATATGTTATTGCCATTTTATTATTTTTTAAAATTTGCTATTGGGTACTTTTACTCCCCAGATAGTGACCAAGAGAGAAAATGAAAAGGAGTCAGGAAAAATGAGAAAGCTACCTCAGGGTGGGGGGTGCTGGAAGCGGGGTAAGGAGAGCCATGACAGTCCCTTCTCCTCCATTCTCCTCTTGGGATTCTGTGCATACACATACCTGGTATGTGTTTTTCAAGTTTCTAGGCCCAGGACACAAACCATGTAATTGAATCTATCTGTCTTAACCACCATACCACAAGTTGGCCCCTTGCCTTATTATTTTTAACCATCCATGTCACTGGGATGAACTTTGACCATTGTTTATATGTCAACACATCAGTATAAAAATGGTGATGCTCTTTATATTACCACGGGTTCAGTTCTTTCTTGAATTCAAGATAAAGAAAGAAAACACTGTGGAAGTTTTCTCTGCTCTCTAATGTGGCTTACAGAAGCCCCTAAATATAATGGTGGCCAAGGACATGTGATAATTTACCATACTGATACACAAGGGGAAGTAGTATGAGTTAGGCATCTTGCCCTGAAGTTACATAAGTATTTTGTATTCTCTTCTGAAATTTGAGGGTTTTTTTTTCTTTTTGCTAAATTAATTACACATAGTCTTTATCCTCAAGGGACTTTTCAGAGATAATGATGGGAATAACAAATATTTGTGAATAAAGACAGTGACAAGCTATTTCAAGCCTTCAAAAGAGCAATGAAAAAATATTTCAGACAAAAGACAATTAAACAAAGAATCACAGTAGATAGGATGTTTAGAAATAGTCCTTAAATAATGGAGAATTATTGATTGGTAGAGATTGGATCATTTTAAAAAGAAGAAACAATATAAGGAAAGACGCACAGTCTAGGACCTGATTCTCACATTATGAACACTGACACAGACACTCACCCCACTCCCCATCACACACACATACACACACACAGTACAAGGGAGTGAGAGAGCTAAAATTCTAGATCGGAGTCATAAAATAAAAGCTATATCAAGATATTTTCTATGTATTCGTATATCATGTGAGTTCATAGAGAATTGTCTGGAGAAATATGGGCACCTGGGAACATACTAGGAATAATTTTTATATGGATCATGAATTTAAAACTGTTCTAAATGGTAGTCAGAGATGAATAAACAGTGACAGAAGGCATTAACTGAACCTTCAGAAATGTTAATTTAAAGCTCGCAGAGCCCTGGGACTATATTTTTATGAAGAAATGGAAGAGCAAGGCAGTATGGAGAAATACCAGTGATAAAAGCATAAATGAAAGATTGGAGAAGAAATTAGCCAGTGGGAAAACTAATAGGAAAAAAATTGGCACAGATCTTTCCCTGAAAAGACAGATAAGATATATGAAGATAGCAAAAGTAAGTTAGAGAGAAGATCAACTAAAATGTTTAAGTCATATTTTCAGGGTCCTCAAAAAATAATAAAGTCATCAGCTAAAAGACATGGGGGGTGGGGTGGGTTTTGAAGTTTAGATAGATCTTAACACTAATTGGAACTGATGTTTTGGCAGACTTGATTTCGAGCTCAATGTCTAGGTTCAGGCAGAATTGAGCTTAAATCTCACTGTTCACTTATTGGCCACGTTTCTTAATCTCTTTAGGCCAGTGTCTTCAACTGAATTGTGGGAAGATAACAGTGTCTACCTCCTGAAGATGAATGTCTTATTGACTTTATTTTTTAATTTTTTTTCCTGAAGAGTATAGTCAAAACTCATAGATGGAAATGATCTATCTTAATAGAATTCACAGTTAAAAGGACCAATCAATGGTGATCTGGGTGTCTTTAATTCCAGTTCCAATTTTTTCAGAACTAAGTGTGTGAACTTCTTCCTTCCACCCAACCTCTCTGTGCCAAATTCCTCATATAAAGAAACAAAAAGCCAAATGGAGAATGTAAGAAACTTCCTTCTTAGTTTGCAGTAAGAATATCATGGTCTTTAAAACAATTTGGGAGTATAGTGACTAAGACTAGAAATTTGAATGATTAAAATGTAATAAGTCTGCCTTATTACAACTAGGTGGTGAAAATGAACAAAGAAAACTTATAAAGTGCTAGCTTTATTATTACTTACTCTCATGACTGGTATGACTGTTGCCTTTTTCTTTTCCTTTCTTGGTCATATCTTACCAATACACGTTGTTTACTCATTTAGTCTTCTAACAAATATGGAATGAACCTTCTTGGTTTCTTTTTTTGAGAGAGAGATTTTTGCTATAGGGCTCAGTGAGACAGAGATAGACAGAGAGATAGAAAGTGAGAAATCACCTTCCAAAGGGGATGACCATGCCACAATCATTTCTCCTCTATTCTCCTCTCAGGGTTTTTAGGCATGCATGTACATTCACCCAATGTGAGTTTTAAACTGCCAGGTCTGGGACTTGAACTGTAGTCAATTACGTGGGGGTCCAGCTATATAGCCATTACACTATCTGCTGGTCCCTGAACACCTATTTTTATACTCTTACGAATATTACACTCATTGAAAGGAACCTACCAATAGTAAATAGACTA